AGTATATTATGCCAGTGTTATATTTAGAGTCAATAACTTATGTTATTTTATACACAGCTAGTCAGTATATTATGCCAGTGTTATATTCAGAGTCAAGAACTTATGTTATTTTATACCCAGCTAGTCAGTATATTATGTCAGTGTTATATTCAGAGAATCAAGAACTTATGTTATTTTGTACCCAGCTAGTCAGTATATTATGTCAGTGTTATATTCAGAGATCAATAACTTATGTTATTTTATACCCAGCTAGTCAGTATATTATGTCAGTGTTATATTCAGAGTCAAGAACTTATGTTATTTTATACCCAGCTAGTCAGTATATTATGCCAGTGTTATATCCAGAGTCAAGAACTTATGTTATTTTATACCCAACTAGTCAGTATATTATGTTGGTTCTGTACACTTGAAGTTAGGAATTCATGTCGTTTTTATGTCAAGTTAATCAGGAAAAGTTACGTCGTTTTTGTGTTTAGCTAATCATTAATTTATGTGAGTTTTTGATTTAATAATTAGTGCCATATATGTCAGGGCCATGTGTAATTAGTGCCCCTTTTTTTAGGTTCTCTATTTTGGAACATGCTCAAAATGTACTAAGCTGATATGATTTGTTATGATGCAGGGAAATAAATAAATAAAAACAAAGTTAATTACATGATAGGTGCTACAGCAAACGAAATAAAAAACCAATCATTTTTTAAAATTAAAATTCCTCAAGTTGTTGCTAAGTTCTTTTTCGACAAAAGAATAATCTACATATCAGAAAAAGGATGAAATATTGAATAAAAACTAACTCACTAGTTTCTGATGCTGGAGCTATGGTCTCACTATGACTCTGCCCCTTTCTTGGCTCTCTCGTGCTTGTTTCCTGGAATATGGGAAGATGAGGAACAAAATGTTTGTATTCCAGAGACAGAAAAATCTTTGCTTTGTACTGAACAACATCTTAAGTATACCTCACAAGGATCAGTCTTGAGCATACTTCAAGAGTATTAATATTAAGCATATCTCACTAGGACCAATATTAAGCATACCCCACTAGGATCAATTTTAATGATACCTCCCGAGGATCAATCAATATTAAGCGTACCCCACTAGGATCTAACCATGAGGGGGGCATTGATGATCAAAAACTAAAAATTTCCACTTTTATAAACTTTAATTATATTTTATGTTTTTACTTTATACTTGTGTTTTCTTATGTTATATTTTATGTTTTTACTTTATACTTATGTTTACTTATTACAAGTTATGCGAATTATAAAATCAAAATAACAGGGGCTATTTGTATGCTTATGAGCAACTCTGAATACGCTGATAAAATATAATATAAACTTTTAAAACCAAACAAAGCTTAAGTTCACATTTAAAATTACGACCAGAAAATATATTTAAAAAAAAAGCCATTAAGAGACATATATATATAATTGACAAGTGATCGCAGTACCCTAAACATTGGATACATTTGCATATATATATTTTGATAGAGAGTATAATATGCATACACAGTTGTCAACAGCTTTAAAAAAGTTCACAGTACAGTAACTAAAATGAGAGAAACCACTGTCTGTTTTGAAATAAGTTATAAACTACATATATATAAGGAACTACGAAACTAGCCAAGTTATTCGAAGTATAGATACAGTAAGAACACAAAATAGTTGGTGTAATATTAGTAGTAGTTTCAGTTCTTTATTGTTTGTTTGTTATTAAACACAAAACTACACAATGAGCTACCTGTGCCGTACCCACCACGGGTAACCCGGTTTTTATCGATATAAAACGGGAGGGGAGTATTTTAGTTCTTAACTGATTACATTACATTTAGTTGATTACACGAATTGCATTGAGAACGAACAGTTACATTTTGGAGGTACAGAATCAAGATAACTATTGCTACGTTAATAACTGTCATAATGTGAATTAAGACAACTAAATTGTAGCCTCGCCCTGTATGCACCTAAAAGAAAGCGGTTAATGTAGGGTTTTGTTCAGCGGCTCGGGACTTTTTTTTTTTGAAGTTTTCTTACATTTCACTAACAGTTAGTTACCTTGTGTTCATTTAGATCTTCTTGGAAGTGGTCTGATGTCCTTCTTCTTGACGTTAGGTGTCGCGCTGAAACGTGGAAAAATAAGTAAGTGTATTTGCTTGTCGACTTCCTGTGTGGAGAACTTATAAAAAGTTGAATAACTAACTACCAGACCAGTTGAATAACTAACTACCAGGCCAGTTGAATAACTAACTACCAGATCAGTTGAACAACTAACTACCAGGCCAGTTGAATAACTAACTACCAGGCCAGTTGAATAACTAACTACCAGGCCAGTTGAATAACTAACTACCAGGCCAGTTGAATAACTAACTACCAGGCCAGTTGAATAA